AAAATATAAATTCCCCTAATGTGAGTTCTTTTATTTTTTTAAAGTAACTGTCCATTTTTTTTTAAATGTCAAAAGCAGGGTATGTGCGTAATGTGTGTCTGAGAGGAACGGGTGACAGATTAATCGACAAACAAAACAGGATGGGATGTTTTGGTGAGGAAATCTGACTGTGTGGATTTCAATGATGCCATCTGTGCTATGGCAGCGTCAAGTGTTATTGGCTCCTCTCACACATACTTACCTACAGAAATCCAAGGTGGATCTTTTTTTTTTATGAATTCTGGACTTTCTGGATTGAAATGCTGCCCTCTGCACGCCATTTTTAAAGCATACTCCAAGAGAACTGGAATCTTATATGACATGCCTGATTTGGTCTGGGGCTGAATCATGACTAGTTCATTTAAGTAGTGGCCCAGCACCAGAAAACAGAAGTGTACAAGGGTTGCCCTGATTATATTGAGAAGCAGCCATCTCAGACAGCTAAAGTATCTGCCAAGCTTTTTTTTTTCCCTTTGAAAAAAGTGAAGCAAAAAAACCAAAAACAAATTTAACTTATAATATTGAAGAAGTGATTCCTTGCTCCCTTTCTCACCCCCATTTTACAAGTGGATTGTATATGCAAGGGAGGAGTATGAAGAAAGAGAAAAAGAGAGAACATTGGACATACTGGAGTTCTTTCATTTTGTGAGACCATTTCAAGTCTCATCTCTATGCCAGAGAATGGAACAAAGAATCAGTTAATTTTCTTTTTCTGATTCAGAAGCCTGGGTTAAGTTGAGGTAAAACTATGTAAATATTCCATCATTTGGTACAAGGAAAATAGGGGTGGGAGTGTAGAGTAAAATTCCTTCTTAATCTGGAGTTACCTCAGCTTCCAAGTTCACACAATAGGTCAGGCCTGCAATTAATTTGGTTAAGCATACCAACCACTGCCAATTGTTATAAGAAAGTCCAATAGCAATGATACCTGAACTCATTTCTTTTTGCTGGAAGGTAACTGGAAAATCCGCTCTTTAATATCCTTGCAAGTATAACTGAAGGCAAATATTGCTCATAATGGCTGGTGAACATTTCAAAGTCCAAACTTGATATTCGGAGGAATTTCTTGATTGCCAGAGCTATTAAGCTGTGGAAGAATCATGGGGTGCTAGTACTGGAGATTTTCAAACAAAGATTGGACAGCCCGGGTCCTTGGGAAAGATTTGATAAGTGGACAAAAATGCCAAATCCCGTCGAAATATCTGGCTGATTGTGTGACCAACCATAATAATTGAACTCAAGCAAAGCTATCACGATACATGTTAGGAGATTGTACATAACAATCTCTTAACAATACAAAGTTAAAAGAAGAGAGAAATCTAATCTTGTAACAGGAAGAAAAGAGCTTTCAACGTCGATAGGTGTAGAACGATTTGATTTTTACCCCAATGTGATTTTTAAAAGGGAAAAAAACCCCGTTCCTTCTTACTACTAAACACTCCCTGAATCCAGCTGTGCAGCTATTACAAAAGGTCACTGCAGAGTGAGAAAATTAGTTTTCTCAATACACCCATTGGAAATCCCACAGTGTATCTGTCTGTGATGAATAGGTCACTCTGATTTTGAAAAAAAGGAAGAAGCTCCTCTTGAAAAAGCAACGAAGAACTTTATGGAGCTGAGGATAGTTGCTGCAATCATCTGAGTCTTTTTATCTGTTCATTTTCTGGTGTTTTATCCAGTCATTTTTTTTCAAGCTTGGACTGCAGTTAAAGGCCACCTTTGAGACCAATAATCATAAGAACTAAGGGAGAAGAAAATATATATATATATATATAACAAGGCAAGGAAAAACAAATTATGTGACTTTGATTTAAAAAGAGGTTGCCTTGTAAGCATCAGGTAGCAACTGATGGAATTCAAGTTGAAATTTGGGAGAAACATTTGAATCAAGTATAAAGATGATTCAAAAACCACCACAGGGTTTTTCTGTTTCTGGCAGAGGAAAAACTCAGGTTGAAATGCAAACTTGCTGATTGCATACCTGGCTCCATGCGATGCAACAGTGGCCCTACCCGAGCTGCCTGATAGCCGGGGTGGCGGTTGATACTCCCAGGCTTATGGTTATGAGGAATTTCAACCTGCCATTGGTCGGCGAAACGTCCATGGCAACTCAGGAGTTCATGGCTTTCATGACGGCCATGGACCTGACCCAGTTAGTTCATGGCTCTACTCACATGGGGGGACACACTCTGGATCTGATTTTTGTCTCTGGTCAGTGGCAGAATGATCTAGAAATAGGGGATTTAGTCATCGAGCCCTTGTCATGGTCGGATCATTCACTCCTTCAACTGGACTTTCAAACTGCTAACCCTCGCCGCAGGGAGACGGAACCGGTTAGATGGTTCCGTCCCAGGTGCCTGATGGACCCGGATAGGTTCCTGACGGAGCTTGGGCCATTCCCTGAGGCTCTAGCTCACAGCTCGACTGAAGAACTAGTGGCGGCCTGGGAGAGGGCAGCCACTGGGGCTTTGGATCACGTCGTGGCTTTGCGGCCTCTGACCTGACGCCAAACTCAATTGGCTCCTTGGTTCTCCAAGGAGCTGAGAGAGATGAAGTGCCAGAAAAGATGCCTGGAGAGTGGTTGGAGGGCCAGTCGTTCCAAATCTGACTGAATACTGGTGATGTCTCATATTAAGACCTACCTAGTTGTGATCAGAGCGGCGAAGTCTAGCTACTTTTCCACTCTGATTGCATCTGCAGATAATCACCAAGCCGCCCTGTTCAGGGTGACCTGCTCCCTTCTCCATCTGGGAGCGCGGGAAGACCCCTTGCAGGGCAGGGCTGAGGATTTTGTGCAATATCTGCATGATAAAATCGCTCAGATTCGGAAGGGTTTGGATTCCGACTGGGTAGATCCAGATGGGGTGATGGAGGTGGGTCTTGAGAATGTTAGCTGGGAGGAGTTTGACCTTGTGACTCCCGAGGACATGGACAGGGTTCTGGGTAGGTTGAACACACCACATGTTTATTGGACCAGTGTCCCTCCTGGTTGGTGCTGGCTTCCCAGGAGGTTACACGAGGCTGGCTCCAGGGGATTGTCAACGCTTCTTTGAGTGAGAGTTTCTTTCCCGCTGCCTTGAAAGAGGCAGTGGTGAGGCCCCTCCGCAAGAAGCTTTCTCTGGACCTGGCTGTTTTATCAAACTATCATTCAGTCTCCAACCTTCGCTTTGTGGCGAAGGTTGTTGAGAGTGTGGTGGCGCGACAGCTTTCCCACTACCTGGATGAAGTGGACTATCTGGATCCGTTCCAGTCGGGCTTCAGGCCTGGGTATAGCATGGAAACGGCATTGGTCACATTGGTTGATGATCTCTGGAGGGCTCGGGACAGGGGTTGTTCCTCTGTCCTAGTCCTATTAGATCTCTCAGCGTCTTTTGATACCATCGACCATGATATCATGCTGCGACTGTTGGAGGGGTTAGGAGTGGAGGGCACCGTGCTATGGTGGTTCTCCTCCTTCCTCTCTGACCGTACACAGTCTGTGGTGGCAGGGGGGCAGAGGTGCCTAGGTTGTGGGGTGCCACAGGGGTCGGTCCTCTTGTCCCTCCTGTTCAACATTTATGTGAAGCCGCTGGGTGAGATCATCTGTGGCTTCGGGGTGGATTTCCATCAATACGCTGATGATACTCAGCTGTACATTTCCACCCTGGGCCACCCCAATGATGCCCTTGAAGTGATGACCCAGTGCCTGGAGGCCGTACGGATCTGGATGGGGAGAAAAAAGCTCAGACTCAACCCTTCCAAGACTGAGTGGCTGTGGTTTCTGGCGTCCCGTCATAGTCAGTTGGTTCCATCACTGATTTTAGGGGGTGAGATCTTGGCCCCCTCAGAGAGGGCTCGCAACTTGGGTGTCCTCCTGGACTCACAGCTGTCTTTAGAGGATCATCTGACAGCTGTGGCCAGGGGGGCTTTTTATCAGGTTCGCCTGATCCATCAGTTGCATCCCTTTCTGGACCGGGATGCCTTACGCACGGCCACTCACACCCTCATCACTTCCTGTCTGGACTACTGTAATGCTCTCTACATGGGGCTCCCCTTGAAGAGCACCCAGAGGCTCCAGCTGGTCCAGAATGCAGCCGCACAGGTGATTATGGGGCGACTCAATGTTCCCATGTAACACCGTTCCTGCACAAGCCGCACTGGCTCCCGGTGGTCTTCCAGGTGCGATTCAAGGTGTTGGTCGCCATCTTTAAAGTGCTCCATGGCATAGGACCTGGGTACTTACAAGACCACCTTCTGCCTCCGATAGCCTCCCACCGACCAGTACGCTCCCACAGAGAGGGTCTCCTCAGGGTGCCGTCGGTTAGACAGTGTTGACTGACGACCCCCAGGGGGAGAGCCTTCTCTGTGGGGGCACCTACCCTCTGGAACGAGCTGCCCCTGGAGATTCATCGAATTCCCGACCTTTGTACTTTTCGCCGTGCCCTTAAAACACTATTATTCCATCAAGCAGGGCTGGCCTAAAATATTATTTTTAATGGGTTATTTTATGTTATTTTAGAGTGTGGGCCAAACTGTCTAATAATTTTAAACTGTTTTTAACTTTGATATTGTTGGTTTTTTATCCTGGCTGTATACCGCCCTGAGTCCTTCGGGAGAAGGGTGGTATATAAATTTAATAAAACTAAACTAAACTAAACTAAACTAAACTAAACTAAACTAAACTAATAAACTTAAACTAAACTAAACTAAACTAAACTAAACTAAACTAAACTAAACTACCAGAAAATAAACCGATGATTACCTGACAAATTATTCAGAAATGATTAAAAACATTGCTTCTTCTTTGCGGTTTGATCTCCTCCTAATGATCCTGCATGATGAACGTATTTGTGAAAGAACTTGAACTATAATACCTCTCCAATTAAATGACTGTGGGGGAATTATAAAATGATTTCTGTGGTACATGAGAACAACAGACGAAACTAAAATTCAATCTGTCTTGTCTTTCTCCTCTTCAATAGGTATCCGAACTATCAAAGACCCATCTCAAAAGGAAGGTTGCAGAGATCTCCTTAAACACAGAAATAAAGTAGCCAGATGTGAGTTTATATGGTGAAAAAAAATCAGTAGATATTAGTGAACAAAGGTCTGACAGAGAGGGCAGTTCAGAAACATTAATTCTGAACTGTGACTGGCAGCTTTAAATGGCAGCTTTAATTTGCCAGAGGCACTGGGCCAGGTAGTTAGATGGGCCAGCTATATACAATGTGAGTTGTGTACTTGTCACTGGTGCAGTATGTTTTATTATGTTTTATTGTTATTATTTTCCTTGCTACTGGATGTTTTTAACCCTTGTTAGCCACCTTGAGTCACCTGGTGAACTGTCAGTTGATAAAATCATCAAAGCAGCTTCATTAATTCACTGTAAAGTTAGTGCTATTTTGGCACTTGGCAAAAAAGAGAGCAGACAGAAAAACAGAATGAGCAAGAAGCACAAAACACAGAATAGGGGTAGAAATGGGGGAAATAACCATTGGGAATGCAATAATGCTAGGCAACCTGATGGTTCATTTTGCAAGTTCTATAATAGCCTCCTGTTGAAGTCTAAAACATCTGGAGAGCACCAAGTTATTTATCCTTAGAAACTCTTTAATTCTACTTTTAATGTATCAATTCATAATTTTTTAATCATACCAGAATTCCAGCCAAGGAAGATTCCATTGATGGGAACAATTGAGGAGCATATGGCATCCTTTTCTAGCTCAGGCAGTGGATTATACAGTCCATGTTTCAGATAGAAAGAGAAGAAGTAGATGGACTTAGGGAATGGCCAACTGCAAGGATACAACCTGACTTCAAAAAAAAAAAAAAAAAAAAAACCCTTCCAGCAATTTCTTTTACAGTTTCTGCCTTGGATTCTCATGATTAAAATGTAAGCAGCCTACTGATTTAATCATATCCACCTTTAAATCCCAGTAATATGAGTAAATCTGGATCCAGTTCAAGTCTTTCAATATATTTTCCCAATCATGAGAACTAAAGTTTTCCCTATTGTGGTTTTTTCAAGAAAGTGAAAACAATTAATCCATATGGGCATATGCAGCCTCCATTCTGAGGGTTTCCAGTTAAAGATTAGGACTGCTTCCAAATGAAAATGTTAATATGGGATTGTGAGTTAGACTGGGCAATCTATAAAAGATGAAAACAAATGAATGAATGAATAAATTTCAACCAGTTGGAGAAAGGGTGGAAAAGAGGAGAAGGAAGGATTGCAAACATTATAATCCCTTTGCAGTCTTGTGTTTTCTCAGAGCTGATTCCACATTTCTTTTTCCTTGTTGAAGAAGGTTGGACTTTGGGGACAAGGATAGTCAATGCCAGTTGAATGGATGTTGTAGCATGTGGTTTTATCCCAGCAACAATGAAATATGCAAATATTTTAAAACTCTGTAGCCCCTACCCCACCCTGAGCAAATTCACAGATTCCCATTTATCATCATTTTAGCAGGATTATTAATGGCAAATGACAATTTAAAAAAATCTTTGTTTTAATGCTTTGCTTTGATTAGCATTCCAGATATTTTACCACATCAGTTTGCTCATTAACACTGGATATTTGCCTTTGAACATGTGATCAACCTTCATAAGAAAGCATCGAGGAAATCAGATGTGAAGAACATGCTGCCTCTGGGATTTGCTGACTGGGTTTGCACCTCATAATATTCCTTGATGCTGTAGGATCGTCTCTGTGAACCAGAAATCAGAGAACGAAGATGCATTAAACTTTGCATTGAAAGATCTGTGGGAAACGGAGAGTCTTTATTAGAAAGCAATAGGCTGACCTCCAGCAGAAGGGAGGTTATTACTAAGGTTATTTTTCACAATCATCCTACAAGCCATTTCCTCCCTTATAAATTAAGCAGCTTGTTGGCAGTGTGACTTCTGGCAATTGTCCAACACATCAAATTAGAATGCAGTGATTTGTAAAACAGAACCCTTCCCAGTCATATAAATGTGGAGCAATTCTAGCCCACGGTGTTCTCTGTATATGGGCGAGGCTTACCTCTTGATAGGGCAGAAGGTGAGCAAATAAATATGTTTTATTGCTCTGGATGGATGAAACATGCAACATTAACTCAGAACCTGCCAACTTAATTAGTAAGTAGTAATGACCACACAAGGACAGATTTCCGTCACACCAAGGGAAAATGCCCTTCATAGTTCCTTGGGGGAAAAAAAATTAAACCTTGTCTCTGAAAATATGCATTTAATATTTCACACAAAATACTCCCCAACCTACATAAATATGTTTGTACATACATATCTACTCCCTCTGCTACTCTCTTTTGGGATAAGTAATATTTTCAAAGCAGTGGGGAGTCAAGAGTCATGGGATCAGAAAGGTAAAGGAAATATAATTAGTGCTATACATCTATATGTCAACTCATATATTCCCTTTTGTTCATTAAAATTCTCATCTCTTTCACTTTTAGAATTTCATCAACTCCTTTGAACTACACCTTTCTCGATCTTTCCCTTCTTTGAAATGATTCACTCTTTTCCCAGATATGTGGTTGCATTGTAATTATCTCAACATACTTCCTTCCTTCATTCTTGTATTGGACCTGCATTCATTCATCACACTATGTCAGTTGGTTTTACTACATATTCTTCTTGTATACCCCATTGCCACTGCATTAAATGTGTGTGGAACTCTTCCTTTGATATATATCCAGATAGACACAGGTAAAGTTTTATTCCTAGCCTCTTTAAATTCTTTGAATAAACATTCATTCCTCTCCCAAAGGTACTTTTTTCAAGAGGCAACTGGGCTTTCTGGTTTTTCTTTGAAGAGTTTCGCTTCTCATCCAAGAAGCTTCTTCAGCTCTGACTGGATGGTGGGAAATGGAAAGATTTATACTTCTTGAAAACAGCTGGACATTTGCATCTTTCTAGCAAATCATTCAGGTCACCTGGAAGTTTACCTGTGTCATCAAGGTCACCTGAGTGGGTGCAAATGTGTGTGGAGCCTTCTTGGAACGGTTGAAAGGACTGTGTTGTAGATTGGAGATAGATGATGTTGTATCCCTCCCCCTCTGTTGAGAGAGGGCTGTTCAATTTTGACATAGATGGCCTCTTTAACCCCTCTTTCAAACCAGCGATCTTCTCTGCCCAAAATATGGACTTTGTTGTCTTCAAAAAAGTGCCCTGTGTCTTTTAAATGCAGACGGACTGCTGAATCTAGTCCTGAGGTGTTTGTTCTCCTATGTTGTGCCATGCGCTTATGAAGTGGTTGTTTGGTTTCCTCAATGTACAGATCTGCACATGGCTCACTGCATTGCACTGCATATACCACGTTGCTCTGTTTCTATCTGGGTGTCTTATCCTTGGGGTGGACAAGGATAAAACACCCAGGTTATCCTTTGGGAAAGCCATGACCTGGATGACTGACAATCTCCATAGACATTCATTCCTCTCAATAGGTCCAATACACCCCACTTTTTTTTTTAACCAAATAGTTGCATATTTTAACATTTACCCATTTCCACATATTCTATCAAAGTACATAATGTGAAATTCACTCTATTTCTCCTGCTAAGCACAAATACTTTGATATTTGCATTTTCTTGTTCATATTCCTCATTGCATCTTGTGGTCTATCTACATTCATTGGTAATCATTACGGTCCTTAGGCAACACCTTGGCATCATCTGCATACTTCAGTACACACATACATTCAAATCCCCAACCACAGTTTTTAGGTCAACACAATAGCCATATATTTATTCATACTAAATACATTAAATAACCAAATGAACATCACAATCCTTGACTTAGTCCCTGGGCAATGCTGAAGCATTCACAAAGCTTCTATTCTATTTATTCTAAGACACATGATAATTCCATCACATACCACTCTTGGTCCATTTAGCAGAGAACCAATCTACTTGCTAGCTCTGTTCTGTTCTGTTCTGCCATGGTTAATAAACAGTTCATAATAAATTAGTTATCTATAAGAAGAGCAACAGCTTTTTCCCTGTGTGAATGAATTATTATAACTACTCAGTCTCTGAAGGCACTCCAAAATAGCCATCTTCAGAAGGCTATGAGAGTGGAAGCTACTCTTGCCTTGAAGGACAAGCCATGCCAAAAAGGAGGAGAATCCTCACAGATCATATCCTCCCCTTTGCGTTCCTTTGCATTACACCTCCCAATGGAGACTTTCAGCAATCCTTCTCTGCTTTCTTCTCATAAACACCCAGCTCCTGGGTCATAGAGGGATTACAAATTGCACTTGGAAACACACTGGTACAGTGAGGCCCTTGATGTTCTCTCTGAACTTAGTGATTTTCTTGAAGACATTTCATTATCAAACCAGGTAACACCAGTGACTCCCTGCCAGCACTGAGGATAGTTACCAAGTTTGGTAATGAAATATCTGTAAGAAAGCTACGAAGCTCAGAGAACACCAAGGACCCAGTGGTGAAATTCAAATTTTTTTACTACCGGTTCTGTGGGCATGGCTTCGTGAGCGTGGTGTGGCTTGGTGGGTATAGCATGGTGGGCATGGCAGGGGAAAGATATTGCAAAATCTCCATTCCCACCTCACTCTGGGGCCAGCCAGAGATGGTATTTGCCAGTTCTCCAAACTACTCAAAATTTCCACTACCGGTTCTCCAGAACCTGTCAGAACCTGCTGGATTTCACCCCTGCAAGGACCCCACAATTGAATCCTGAGCTAAAAACATTCTCTTCTATCAGTAACATACTGGTATATCATACAATCAGACAAATATTTAAATGTATCTATCCAGTGGTGAGCTGCAACTGGTTTAACAATCGGTTCTGTGAGCATGCGCTTTGTGTGTGTGCAGGCTTCGCACACGCACCTAATGTGCTTGCGCGCAGCATTCAGAATACAGCAATTTGAAGCTCAGCTGCTTACCTTCTAAGGCAGCCCTGGTAAGCAAAACAGCAGAGGCGTGGAAATCAGCTGTGCCGCACGAATCAGCTGAACAGAAAGAAGGAAATATAGATAGGGCGGGGGCGGGTGGGCGGAGCCAGCTGATTATCAGAACTACCGGTTCACCTGAAGCGGTCTGAACTGGCAGCAGCCCACTACTGTAGCTATCTTAAACCAGAGTCAAAATAATTCCTAAGGCACTATATCCACTAATTAAAAAGACCCTTTGGAAAAGTTCTATTTTTACCCATTTCTGGAGGGCTGCAAAGGTTGGGGCAAGTCTAATTCCCATTGGTGAATTATTTTACAATACAGGCAACATAATAGAGAACACTTCCTTCTTGCTTTGGCTTTTCTACTATCCTATGAGTAAGGGGTTATCATCCTTTTTTTTTCTTGAGATCTTTGTGTCAAATGGGTTGACCCTGCTTGAAGGAGAGGACCCTGTTGGTACCTTGGCACCAATCCATACAGGGCTTTGTAGGTTAATAGCAGCATTTTAAATTTTACCTGGACACTATTGGTGGCTGGGTCTTCAGCAAGGTTTAATATGTTCTTGCTGTGTAGTGTCAATTAGTTCACAGACCATTGCATTTTGTAACAACGGCAGTTTTCAAATGGTCATTAAAGGCAATCCTGTGCTCAATATGTTGTTATAGGGCAAACATTCTCACCCAAAACTTTACAATTGAAATCCTATATCCATGTATTTGGGAAGATGCTCTTACTGAATTTAACAAAACTTACTTTTCAGTAGGTAGAGTAAAACTTTTACAACTAACCCTTTTATAAATATTGGATGAAAGTGAATAGGAGTTAAGGCTAAGCTAAGCAAAAGTGGTGGCAAAAGAGAAAATTGGTGGCCTCATCCACTGGTGCCAGGGACACAATTAACCTCAAGGAAATGTGGCCTCTAACAGATGATAGAATCATAGAATTGGAAATGCTGTTAAACCATTGAGTCAAAGTCTCTGTGAGCAGAAGAACTCAAATGAAAACATCCTCAAGATCTCTGCTTGAATAATTCTAGCGTGTGGAAGCCTACCATTAGTTTGATGAGCTGCTTTGAGTGTGAGGAAGAATTTTATATTGCATAAATATAGCAGTTAAAATATGCCTTAGTGCACAGGTCTCCAAGCTTTGCTGGCTGGGGAATTCCGGGAGTTGAAGTCCACCAGGCTTAAAATGGCCAAGGTTGTACCCCTGCCTTAGTGTAACTGAAGTGCTACTTTTGGAACTGTGGGAAACAGGCTTTGAGCTATTTTCCCCCTTTTTTAAAGAAAATTTATATTGCCGCTTACTCACCCATGGCAACTCAAGGCGGCTTACACAAATATAAAAACAGGGAGGTCTGTTGTATTCTGTTTACATGAATATAAAAACAGGGAGCTCTCAAGAAACTCATTGCCATGAGACTGTGATCTGGCCATGACAGGGGGACCAAAGATAAGCCCACCAATTCTAGGTCACATAGGCATTGCTCCCATGGAAGTCATGGTTTCCATGAAATCTCAAGCTACCTCTGACCCTGCTCCAGGGATGGCAGGTTGAAATCCCCCAGCACTATAAGCCTGGGGAACTCCACCACCAACTTGCAGTGAGGTCCAGGAGCCTGGATGGGGAAGCTGCCATGCAGCAGGGAGGCTGGTACAGCAACAGCAATCCCACCTGATCCCTTGAGTCCAACCTAAAAGAAAAAGGGTATCATTGTGGAGCTTGTGCATGATATCCTTTTGGATATTGGAGTACTACTATCTACTATCATATCCCGCCCCCCAATCTTCTCTTATCAAGCCTTTTTGTGCAGTCTTTTGATCTCCCAGTTGCCCTTTTC